ACCCTACCTCTATTAAGGAAGGTGTCGACGCTGTCGTTGTTCATCCCCATCCTGGTGGGGATACTCCACTCCCGTTCGTTCGCTCCTCGCTCAGCAAACTCAAGCATTCTTTAACTTTCTTTCCAAAGTTCTTTTTGTCCTTCCTTTGCAGTACTTCTTCTCCGTCAGTACTGGAGCCAGTTCCCGGCCTGGTCAATAGACGGGAAAATGAAGAGAAGGAAATAAAAATAAAAATAAAAAATAAAAATAAAACAAATCAACAAAATAAAAATAGTAGAATTGAAGAGGACGAGGACCTGCCGGCGCCCTCTTGCTCTTGATTGTCGGCCCCGGCTTGGGCCCGTCTGACAAAACCAAGGGGGATAGTCCCTTAAGACCCTCGACCCCTCAGTCTCCGTCGGTCACGCTCCTTTGCTCCATCGTTGCGTGCTGACCTCGAACCCCAAACCTGTCGCTTGAAAGTCCAATGTCGTTACCAATAGAAATAGGCCCAAGGTTGAGCTAGGTAGGCCCAAACCTGTTTATGAATGGTCGCGGGACAGTGATTGGTCCTACCCGCACAAACCAGGCCTTCGCCTTTGGTCTGTCGGTCAACCTCCTAGTCGTCAGGAGATGCCGAGACGCCGCCCGCGCCTAGGATCATAGATATCTATCATGGTCGTCGGGGGCACGACATGTTTTGCGGAACTCCCACCTTTCCCCCATACTTAGTTTGCCAATGCCACGCCTTTCCATGCGCCGCCAAACACAATCTTCCTGCGTGTGCACAAAGTAGGGTCTTTATCTTCTCTGCGACGCATCCTACCAGTGGCTAAGTTGTTTCGTGGAGCAAAGTTATTCTTAAAACAAAAGAAAAATATAACCAAATTGAAAACCATAGGGAAGGTAACTGGACCCTATAGCTCTGGCACGTTCTGCCGGCCTGGCACACAGTCCGACGCATTAATTGCATTCCCGGCACACTCTCTAATTTGGTCGTATTTGACTTGGATGCTCGCCAAAAACGAGGTCGCCGAGGTGGGCGCCCTGGCGTGATTGTCCCATCAACGCGTTACATTGATCAAGGACGCACTCAATGCGACCTTTAAAAAGAACGGCAAATACCCTCGTAAGGGTGTTTGCTACGACAACGCGCCAGTGGTTACATCTGCCCTGCACATGAGAATGGGAAAAATTGACGAGCCTTCCAGGCCATTCTCTTCGTGGCCTAAGCAGGGTACATCGCACATTCGTGCCTGGGTGGTTGGGCGTGCAGAACCAATTCGGTCCCAGACCACCGTCTGAACGGCCCCGGCGCAGACACTTTGGCCAAGACTTAAGCTACTCACGTGACAGGTGCAAAGCAAAGCGCCTGCCACTTTCCATATAGGAAAGTGTCGGGCGCTAGCGACAGTATTCGGGCACTTGCAAGCAGGTGCGGCAACGCTGCTGGAGCATTAGCTCGAGGGCTGCTGTGCTAGCTGCTAATAGCAAGCGAGCGTGCACGTGCGGTCGTGCAAGGGAACAGGGCGCTGCTGAGGGGAGCGCCATAGCCCAACCCTTCAAAGCCAGGCTTCGGGCTTGGATGGTCAGCAGGTGGTGGTGGTCTTCGTGTATGGGGAGAAGACGTGGGAAGAGAAGACGAGGGAGGGAGATGAGGATGATGACGTGAGGGCACGTAGCTGGTCTTGGCGATAGTCTAAAAGGGTCGACATCTTCATGTACTTCGGTTCTGCTGCTGATGTCAACAGTGTTACGATCCTGGCCAAATTCGAAGTATACATTCATCTGAAAGTACAATGCCATCCAATTGCAAAAAGAAATGAATGAACTTGAGAGGAAAGAGAGGGAAAGAAGAAGAAGAAGAAGTGAGAAAGAAGAAGATGATGATGTACTCCAGCATAGACCAATGTCAAGGCTCTTCTTCTTTGCCAACCAATCCCTTCCTCCAATCTCCTCCCTCTTATTCAAACAAGAAATAACAATAATAATGTTGGATGACTGGACCAGAATCCATGTTCGAACCCCACTTCTACTGCAGGCACAACATGAGGTCCACCATAGCCATGGCCACCCTTCCTATTCCTCTACATTCAGGCCGAGGCTATGGCGGACTATTGAGGCTTCAGCCTCCTGTCCAAAGGACAACCCAAAGCAGCTATGCTGCTGCCCCACTTCAAGGTCATCACCAAGCAGCTATGTCGCTGCCCACTCAGCCACCACGCCTGACTCTGTCCCGAGTTTCCTTGATGCGGCACTACCCCCATTGGGGCCTTCCTGATGCAGCGCCTAGCAAGGAGATGAAGATGGTGTCTACCATAGCCAGTAAGTGCCTCGCCACTCTCCTCCTTGGTCCCCTTCTCCCTCCTCCTCCTACCGGTAGAGCTCCACCATAGC